TTCAAGGGTCCAGGGACGATTTCGACATCTGCTTTGTCGACTCCCCCAGTCATTGCGCGTTTGCACATGTTTGATCCTGTTGAGGAAGTAAGCATGACCCACACCCCAATACAAATCAGACCTCATCTCTGCCTACTTTTGTCAGCTCATTGAAAAGACCCGGAAACATATCGATCGCAAGCCAAAGATCGCCACCAATCAGCACTAGCAACCCTGTATCGCCAACAGTTTCGACCTGCACTTTGAGATAATATGATTTTTACACACAAGAGTAGGCACAGCAGAAGAGGAGGAGGAGGAGGTGCAGGAGGAGGAGGAGGAGGAGGAGGACGAGGAGGAGGTGCAGGAGGAGAAGGAGGTGCAGGAGGAGGAGGAGGACGACGACGACGACGAGGACGAGGACGAGGGGAAAGGGGGGGAGAAGGAGGACCCAAGTTTGGCGTTGTCTTTGGTGAACTGACGTTCGCCTTGAAAGATCTGAAAATGAAAATCAGTGAGTGAAAAATGGAGCCAAATGTACGGAAGAACAGAAGAATGTTGTTGAAGTAACAGTTGTTGTTGTTGATGATGATGATGATGTTGTTGTTGTTGTTAATATTGATGATGATGATGATGATGATGGTGGTGGTGGTGGTGGTGGTGGTGGTGATGATGATGATGATGAGCAGCAGCAGCAGTGGAAAGTAGAAGAGGTGATGGAGTTTGATGATTCTGATCAGATTACAAGGACAGCTGATTTCCTCTTACCTGGATGAAAACATTCGGCTGGTTATCAACTTCCGTAGTGAACACCTGCAAACGAGTCAATCCTTCTCCCTCTCGCTCCTCCTGCTCCTGCTCCTGCTCCCTCCTCTTGCTCCTGCTCCTCTTGCTCCTTCTCCACCACCTCCTCCTGCTTCTGCTCCTCCCTCCTGCTCCTCCTGCTCCTCCTGCTCTACTTTGTTCTTGCGCGTTGGGATCGCTGAATTCCGGTCAATGAGTGCAGTCATGATGCCGCCAGTCGTCTCGATGCCTGGGATAGCAGGATGAGAAGAAGAGAGGAGGGGAGGAGAGAGGAGGGAGGAGAGAGGAGAGGAAGAGAGAGGAGGGGAGGGAAGGGGAGGAAGAAGAGAGGAGAGGAGGAGAGAGGAGCGGAGAGGAGGGGAGGGGAGGGGAGGAAGGAAGAGAGGGAGAAGTGCAATACCGAGAGTAAGAGGTGTTACGTCGAGGAGGACCATGTCTTTGAATTGACTCCCTCCTGCCATCAGCGCGAAATCCTGCAAGGGAGAGAGAGGAAGGGGAGGGAGAAAGTAGAGGAAGGAATCGAATCAGCTGATGCAGGAAAGGCATGAAGAACAGAAAGCCGAGAAGAGGTGGTAATGGGAGGGAGGAGGAAGAGGGAGGAGGAAGGAGGAGGAGGAGGAGGAGGAGGGAGGGAGGAGGAGGAGGAGAAGGAGGGAAGAGGAGGAGGTACCTGTCCCGTCAAGATTCCTGCCTGGACTGTCGCTCCGAACGCAACTGCTTCGTCCGGATTCACATCATGAGACGGCTCCTGCATCCTTTCTTCAGCACATCACTCGGCCGTCTCTCGTTCTCCTCTTCACCACCTCCTCTCCTTTCCTGCTCCTGCTCCTGCTCCTGCTCCTGCTCCTGCTCCTCTCTTACCTTGCCGTTAAAGAATTCTTTGAGAAGTTGTCGGACTTTTGGGATTCGCGTGCTGATAGCAGATCTATCATACAAAG